TGTGACATAAAAGTAACGCAAAGTATTGCATACTTTCGAGCTGGTCACATAAAATAATAATGCAGAAGGACATAATCTCGCCATGATCAGCGGCGGAGTTATGTCGTTTTGAAGCGACATAGCTCCGCCGATCTAAAAAAATCATGGAGATATGACATTTCAAAGCGACATAACTTCGCCGTCGATCTTGGCGGATACTACGGACCTCCCCGAGTAGCCCATCGGTTTTTGGCCCCTATCGGGTTTTATTTGGCCGAGATATAGCCATATAAAGTTTTCGGGGTTGTTATGTGGTTTTAAAGCGACATAACTCCGCCGATCTAAAAAAATCATGGAGATATGACGTTTCAAAGCGACATAACTTCGCCGTCGATCTTGGCGGATACTACGGACCTACCCGAGTAGCCCCTCCCTTTTTGGCCCCTATCAGGCTTTATTTGGCCGAGATATAACCAATTAAAGTTTTCGGAGTAGTTATGTCGTTTTGAAGCGACATAGCTCCGCCGATCTAAAAAAATCATGGAGATATGACGTTTCAAAGCGACATAACTTCGCCGTCGATCTTGGCGGATACTACGGACCTCCCCGAGTAGCCCATCGGTTTTTGGCCCCTATCGGGTTTTATTTGGCCGAGATATAGCCATTTAAAGTTTTCGGGGTAGTTATGTCGTTTTGAAGCGACATAGCTCCGCCGATCTAAAAAAATCATGGAGATATGACGTTTCAAAACGACATAACTTCGCCGTTGATCTTGGCGGTTTCTATGGACCTCCCCGAGTAGCCCATCCCTTTTTGACCGTAATCGGGCTTTATTTGGCCGAGATATGACCATTTAAAGCTTTTCCAAAATATTCGTGTGGTTGTGTGACATAAAAGTAACGCAAAGCATTGCATACTTTCGAGCTGGTCACATAAAATAAAAATGCAGAACGACATAATCTCGCCATGATCAGCGGCGGAGTTTTGTCGTTTTGAAGCGACATAGCTCCGCCGATCTAAAAAAATCATGGAGATATGACGTTTCAAAGCGACATAACTTCGCCGTCGATCTTGGCGGATTCTACGGACCTCCCCGAGTAGCCCCTCCCTTTTTGGCCACTATCGAGCTTCATTTGGCCGAGATATAACCAATTAAAGTTTTCGGAGTAGTTATGTCGTTTTGAAGCGACATAGCTTCGCCGATCTAAAAAAATCATGGAGATATGACGTTTCAAAGCGACATAACTTCGCCGTTGATCTTGGCGGTTTCTATGGACCTCCCCGAGTAGCCCATCCCTTTTTGACCGTAATCGGGCTTTATTTGGCCGAGATATGACCATTTAAAGTTTTTCCAAAAAATGCGTGTGGTTGTGTGACATAGAAGTAACGTACAGCATTGCTTACTTTCGAGCTGTTCACAAAAAAAAAAATGCAGAACGTCATAATCTCGCCATGATCAGCGGCGGAGTTATGTCGTTTTGAAGCGACATAGCTCCGCCGATCTAAAAAAATCATGGAGATATGACGTTTCAAAGCGACATAACTTCGCCGTCGATCTTGGCGGATTCTACGGACCTCCCCGAGTAGCCACTCCCCGAGTAGCCCATCCCTTTTTGGCCCCTATCGGGCTTTATTTGGCCGAGATATAGCCATTTAAAGTTTTCGGGGTAGTTATGTCGTTTTAAAGCGACATAACTCCGCCGATCTAAAAAAATCATGGAGATATGACGTTTCAAAGCGACATAACTTCGCCGTCGATCTTGGCGGATTCTACGGACCTCCCCGAGTAGCCCCTCCGTTTTTGGCCACTATCGAGCTTCATTTGGCCGAGATATAACCAATTAAAGTTTTCGGAGTAGTTATGTCGTTTTGAAGCGACATAGCTCCGCCGATCTAAAAAAATCATGGAGATATGACGTTTCAAAGCGACATAACTTCGCCGTTGATCTTGGCGGTTTCTATGGACCTCCCCGAGTAGCCCATCCCTTTTTGACCGTAATCGGGCTTTATTTGGCCGAGATATGACCATTTAAAGTTTTTCCAAAAAATGCGTGTGGTTGTGTGACATAGAAGTAACGCAAAGCATTGCTTACTTTCGAGCTGTTCACATAAAAAAAAATGCAGAACGTCATAATCTCGCCATGATCAGCGGCGGAGTTATGTCGTTTTGAAGCGACATAGCTCCGCCGATCTAAAAAAATCATGGAGATATGACGTTTCAAAGCGACATAACTTCGCCGTCGATCTTGGCGGATTCTACGGACCTCCCCGAGTAGCCCCTCCCTTTTTGGCCCCTATCGGGCTTTATTTGGCCGAGATATAGCGATTTAAAGTTTTCGGGGTAGTTATGTTGTTTTGAAGCGATGTAACTCCGCCGATCTATAAAAAATCATGGAGATATGACGTTTCAAAGCGACATAACTTCGCCGTCGATCTTGGCGGTTTCTATGGACTTCCCCGAGTAGCCCGTCCCTTTTTGACCCCTATCGGGCTTTATTTGGCCGAGATATAGCCATTTAAAGTTTTCGGGGTAGGTTTGTCGTTTTAAAGCGACATAACTCCGCCGACCTAAAAAAATCATGGAGATATGACATTTCAAAGCGACATAACGTCGCCGTTGAACTTGGCCGTTTCTATGGACCTCCCCGAGTAGCCCATCCCTCTTTGACCGTAATCGGGCTTTATTTGGCCGAGATATGACCATTTAAAGTTTTTCCAAAAAATGCGTGTGGTTGTGTGACATAGAAGTAACGCAAAGCATTGCTTACTTTCGAGCTGTTCACATAAAAAAAAATGCAAAACGTCATAAACTCGCCATGATCAGCGGCGGAGTTATGTCGTTTTGAAGCGACATAGCTCCGCCGATCTATAAAAATCATGGAGATATGACGTTTCAAAACGACATTACTTCGCCGTTGATCTTGGCGGTTTCTATGGACCTCCCCGAGTAGCCCATCCCTTTTTGACCGTAATCGGGCTTTATTTGGCCGAGATATGACCATTTAAAGTTTTTCCAAAAAATGCGTGTGGTTGTGTGACATAGAAGTAACGCAAAGCATTGCTTACTTTCGAGCTGTTCACATAAAAAAAAATGCAGAACGTCATAATCTCGCCATGATCAGCGGCGGAGTTATGTCGTTTTGAAGCGACATAGTTCCGCCGATCTAAAAAAATCATGGAGATATGACGTTTCAAAGCGACATAACTTCGCCGTCGATCTTGGCGGATTCTACGGACCTCCCCGAGTAGCCCCTCCCTTTTTGGCCCCTATCGGGCTTTATTTGGCCGAGATATAGCGATTTAAAGTTTTCGGGGTAGTTATGTTGTTTTGAAGCGATATAACTCCGCCGATCTATAAAAAATCATGGAGATATGACGTTTCAAAGCGACATAACTTCGCCGTCGATCTTGGCGGTTTCTATGGACTTCCCCGAGTAGCCCGTCCCTTTTTGACCCCTATCGGGCTTTATTTGGCCGAGATATAGCCATTTAAAGTTTTCGGGGTAGGTTTGTCGTTTTAAAGCGACATAACTCCGCCGACCTAAAAAAATCATGGAGATATGACGTTTCAAAGCGACATAACGTCGCCGTTGAACTTGGCCGTTTCTATGGACCTCCCCGAGTAGCCCATCCCTCTTTGACCGTAATCGGGCTTTATTTGGCCGAGATATGACCATTTAAAGTTTTTCCAAAAAATGCGTGTGGTTGTGTGACATAGAAGTAACGCAAAGCATTGCTTACTTTCGAGCTGTTCACATAAAAAAAAATGCAGAACGTCATAATCTCGCCATGATCAGCGGCGGAGTTATGTCGTTTTGAAGCGACATAGCTCCGCCGACCTAAAAAAATCATGGAGATATGACGTTTCAAAACGACATAACTTCGCCGTTTATCTTGGCGGTTTCTATGGACCTGCCCGAGTAGCCCATCCCTCTTTGACCGTAATCGGGCTTTATTTGGCCGAGATATGACCATTTAAAGTTTTTCCAAAAAATGCGTGTGGTTGTGTGACATAGAAGTAACGCAAAGCATTGCTTACTTTCGAGCTGTTCACATAAAAAAAAATGCAGAACGTCATAATCTCGCCATGATCAGCGGCGGAGTTATGTCGTTTTGAAGCGACATAGCTCCGCCGATCTAAAAAACTCATGGAGATATGACGTTTCAAAGCGACATAACTTCGCCGTCGATCTTGGCGGATTCTACGGACCTCCCCGAGTAGCCCTCCCTTTTTGGCCCCTATCAGGCTTTATTTGGCCGAGATATAGCCATTTAAAGTTTTCGGGGTAGTTATGTCGTTTTGAAGCGACATAGCTTCGCCGATCTAAAAAAATCATGGAGATATGACGTTTCAAAGCGACATAACTTCGCCGTCGATCTTGGCGGATTCTACGGACCTCCCCGAGTAGCCCCTCCCTTTTTGGCCCCTATCGGGCTTTATTCGGCCGAGATATAGCCATTTAAAGTTTTCGGGGTAGTTATGTCGTTTTGAAGCGACATAGCTCCGCCGATCTAAGAAAATCTTGGAGATATGACGTTTTAAAGCGACATAACTTCGCCGTTTTTCCAAAAAATTCGTGTGGTTGTGTGACATAAAAGTAACGCAAAGCATTGCATACTTTCGAGCTATTCACATAAAAAAAAAAGGAGAACGACATAATCTCGCTATGATCAGCGGCGGAGTTATGTCGTTTTGAAGCGACATAGCTCCGCCGATCTAAAAAAATCATGGAGATATGACGTTTCAAAGCGACATAACTTCGCCGTTGATCTTGGCGGTTTCTATGGACCTCCCCGAGTAGCCCATCACTTTTTGACCGTAATCGGGCTTTATTTGGCCGAGATATGACCATTTAACGTTTTTCCAAAAAATTCGTCAGTCTGATCTACTTAACGATTAAAGAAAAAATTTAATTCAGTTAAACTAAATAATATAAAGGTTCATTATTTTCAAAGGTTTACAAAAATAATAAAAAAATGTTCACTCCTGTGCACTTAACAAGTAGGTCAAAAATAGCATATAGGTTCGTCCGATACATCTACTATATACAAATTAAACAACTATTCACTATTGACTAATTCGAACCACTGTCTCATGGCTTCGCTGAGCACCAGAGGCAACTGATTTAGGTCGCGTACTATCACATAATATGGAAAAGGAAAACTATCCAAATATGAATTGATTTTGACCGAACCATCAGCATTCACCTCCACGTGTTGTATGTCCAGTATCGAATTCTGCGAGCACAAAGGATGACAATTAGAAAAATATTATTGTTCTATATATAATCAGAAGCTGACCTTGTTTTCGGGATTATCGATGATAATGTATACAAGAAATATACGCTGCAGTCGTGCCAGCTTGATGGCATTCTTGACTTTCTGATTTCCCTCACTGAATATATTCCGTCCATCGCTCAATATAAGCAGCAGATTCTCAAACAGGCCATTGTCACCGCCCAGACCGCTCTCCTCGTTGTTCACGGTGCGTATAAAGTCCAGCAGGCCCGCAATTTTGGTTTTATCCTGGGCAAAATTAAGTGCGCTAACCAAACGCGGTCCGTCAAACTGTTCCGTATGATTGAGGATAATTTTCGGCGCTTCGCCGAAGGAAACAATGCTCAGGCGACCACTTTCCAGCAGCGTTAACGCCTGCGACACCAAGGAGATGGCCTCCAGTGTCAGCGTCTTGGAATTGTTATGATGCATCGACTTGGAATCGTCGATGGCTATGGTTATTTTATAATCACGCTGTGCCGGCTTTGTGCGACGTAGCCAGATCTTGTCCTTGCGGAATTGTGATGCTATATACGGAATAATCTTCTTCATATTGATGCGGCGACCCGTGCGATAGTCACCCTTAAGCCGTGAGCACTTTGTGGGTTCCAAGATGAGACGCAACTGTTCGCACAGTTCGCGTGCATTTTGTGTCATGCGATTCGATATGCTGGACCAGGTCTCATAATCCTCATGCTGTGACAGGATCTGTTCGTAATTCAAGAGATTAGTAATCGACTTTTAAGTCTCTGAATCCTACTTACGGCATTTGCGCTGGTCAATTGTTGCTGATACATTTGCCGTAACTCAATTTGCTCGGCTGTTCTCAGCTCCTGGGCCAGTGTGCTTTTGTCCAGCAGTAGCTCCGTGCTATAAATAGTTGACAATTGAATAATAATAACATAACTATCGGGTATTTATAGTCGTTCATTACTTGCTGTGCGCTGTGGTCTCAGCGCTGCGCGGCACTGTCATTGTGGGCACCACTTCGCCCTCGATTTCCATTTGCTCGGCCGTTTCCAGGCGTTCCTTTGCCTGTTCCGTTTTTGAGGGCTTGTCGGAGTTTTGATCCGTTCTCTCAGAGCTTAGCTGCTCCAATTGTGCATCCTCCTCCTCGGGCGCTGTAGTTGTTTCCTCATCTGCCATTAGCTCATCTGCGTTTTCGGCATCTTCATCCACTTTGGGCTCTTCGTCCTCTTGGTGTTTGATTTGCTTGGATTGCTCCTCTGTGGCATTGTCCAGGGTGGTTTTATCGCTATTCTTTGGCTCCTTGACATGCTGATATTCTTCCGCCTCGACATGCTCATCCGGTTGATCCTGTTTCTCGCCTTCATTTTGCTTGGATTCCTTCATTTGATTAATTGTCTTCAGCTGCTTCAATTTGTTTTGCTCAGCTTCGCCTGGATGACAAAACGGAATTGAAGTTTAGTCTAGAGGTTTGGAAAGTACTTGACGAGTAGCTACCTAGCGTGCGCTCCTCATTGGTGCGTCCTTGTTTGCGTTTTTCCTGTGTCTGTTTTTCATTCTTACGCTCTTCGTGGGAGACCGTTTCCTTGGTCTCGGCTATGCCCTGATGGCCGCCGTCGTTCGTCTGGAATATAAGAAAAGGAAGTCTTAGATTTATATTAAATTGAAGAATTGTAAGACTCACATCATTTTCGGCCTGTCCCACGCCATCTTTTTCTTCGCCTGTCTCCTGCTCATCCATCTTCTGGTCCTGCTTGATATTTTTATCCTGTTGCTCTTGCTGCAGCTGATCCGCTGAGCTGTTCTGTTCCGTGTCGGGCACAGACTGTACATTATCTTCCGTGCTGGACTTGTCCTTGGATTGTGTGTGCTGTTCGGGTTTCTCTTCGCGCGCTTCTGGCTCAGCGGGTGTTTCCTCTGGCTGTTCCTCTTCCTTATCCAAATCACCACGCGTTTGGGTTTCCAGTTCGGTATTTTCCTTCTCTTCCTCAGCCACCGCGTCCTGGTATTCTTCACCTGGCGCCTTATGGGTTTGCTCTTGTTCTGTACTCTCCTCTTCCGCGTCGGAGTCGCTGTCATGCGACATGGGCTGCTCCTCCTTGGCCTGCTCTTCCTCTGGCTCATCGGCTGCCTGCATGTTTTCCTTCATGGCGTCTATGTCGAAGGGATTCTCATCATTCGCCTCATCGGCTTCATTGTCCTGACCCTCGTCCACGTTGTTCATATCACCCAAATCCATTTCCTCAGGCTCGGGCGGCTCTTCCAGCTCATTGTGCATTGCATTCGTTTGTTCCTCATCGAGCTCTGGTTCCTTCATGTCATCAATATCCCTGGCCTGCTCCTTGCGCTTATCCTCGCCACTTGGCTCATTTGTCGCATCCAGGCCATCTTTCTCGTGCTCATCCTTGCCATCCTCCTTGGCAGCCTCGTTCTTAGTATCTAGATCGTTGTGCTCATCCTTTTCATCCTTGCTGCCCTTGCCCTGATCCTCTTCATTCAAATCGGGCTGCTCCTCTTCTTCGTGCTGTTTCTCCTGATCATCGCCCCAGATCTGGTCATCTAGCTTTTCGGCACCCTGCTCTGTTTCGCCCATTTCCTTGTTGAGCTCATCTTCATTTTCAGATTCGCCACTGTCATCCTCCTCGTTCTCTGGTTTCTCCACGTCCTGCATTTTAGCATCGAAGTCGTCGCTCATTTCGATGCCCTTTTCTTCTTTGCAGTCGGGCTCCTCTTTGTCGCCCTCATCCTTCCGATCCTCTGGCCGTTTGGCATCATCCAACTGATCCTCGGATTCGATTTTATCCGATGCATCGTTCTCGCCGGTTCCATCTTCCAGCCCGAAACCCTCACCGTTCTTTGAATCCTGCTTGGACTGACCCTCCTCATCCTGCATCAGATCTGGCGGCACACAGAAACCTTTGCTGCCAATCTCCACGAAAGCGGTTAGCATAATAGACAACATCTTGGCGGAGACCTTGTGCGTGCCCAGCTGCTGTAGCAGCATGTAGTCCGCCAGCAACTGATACTGCTGCAGCACGGGCACCAGGGCTACCGCCCGGCGCAGGCACAGCAACTTACCCTGGCTGGGCTGGGCGTGCTTGAGCAAGAGGAGCACATTGGACAGCTTGCTGAGGGTGCGCGGCATTCCCAAAAGTTGCCAGTCCGCATTTAGCTGACCAGTCAAATGCTTTTTTAGATGCTGCTCCTTGAGTGCCTCCTCCTGGTCATCATCCGCTGGCGCTGGCTGGTTTTTGTGCTCCTTGTAGATCTTCTGCAGCGCCAGCAGTACGCCATGTGCTATGTTCGAAATCTCCGCATCTACATTGCTTAGCTCAACGGGATCCGCCGTGGCATCGGCATCTGTGGGTTGGCTGTGCTCCAGCTGCTCGAGCAGCGCCAGCAGCGGCTGTGCCAGTGGCAGATGCTCAGCATGTCCAGCGTCTAGCTGATCCAGCGCCTGTTTAATGTGGTCCACAATCTTATGATAGCTGCGCTGATAGTGCAGCAGTTTGTTGCTGTCCAAAAACTCTGTGGGAGCACGCTCCAGCTCTAGGAGGAGTGCTTGGCTGCTGCGCAGAATTAGGCTGCACAGGTCTAGCAGCAGCTCGATCTGAGGCAGCGACTGGCTTTTGAGCAGCACGCTATGCTCGCCGAGCTGCTGAAGCGGCGCACAGTTGAGCAGCAGCTGCCACTGCTGGACCACATACTGGATCTGGCAGAGCTTATGCTTTAACTGCACACACTCATCTGCATTGCGTGCAAAACTCAGCTGCTCTACGGCTGCCTCCTTAGGCAGGACAATGTCCGCGGCTTGCTGCAGCTGCTGCAGTGCCTGGCGCAGCTGGTGCAGCTGTCTGGTCGCGCTGGACAGCTGCTCGCGCTGCTGCTGCACTTGGAGGAAGAGATCGACGGCAAACCCCTTGATGCGCTCTATATTGGGCGGTCCCAGCTCGGAGAGGGGCGTCAGCATGATGTTCTGCAGCAGCTTCAACTTGAACACGCTCTTCATGTAGTACATGTCCACCTGCTGGTTAAGCGGCCGCCAGCTGCCATGGAGCTGCGGCAGCATGGCCTTGATGCAATACGGCGGCAGCTGGAAGTTCTCGAATTCCGTGCGCAGCGACAGCTCCATAAGCCCGGATCTGTAGCTGAGGCCGAGCCGTGCGAGCATCTTGAAGAGATCGGTCAAAGCTTTGCGCTTCTGCTGCAATATTTGCTTGGCCTGTAGCTTCTGTTGTGGTCGCTCCTTGCTGCGATCCACGTTGAGATTGCGCAGATGCTCGCAACGCTGCAGCTGCGCATCCACCTGGTCGTCAAGCTCAGCCAGCAGCGTGCCGTAGCACGTCTGCTCGACCGTCTGGCGCACAATTTTGCGTGCAGTGCCAAAGTGTTTGCCCAGCTGTTGAAGCAGTGGTAGCTCATCAGTGGCCAGATCCTTTAGCTGGAACTTGGCGCGCAGCTGCTGCGGCGCCACAAAATGTTGGCTGTCCAGGAGATATTGATTTGCCATATTCCGTTTATCCATGCTGTAGTCCTTGACGGTGGCATCTTTGGGCTGGAACACCTCGCTGATCTTCTGCTCCAGCAGCAAGCGGTACTCCTTGAGAAACTTGTTCAGATTGCGATGCACGCTGGCCACATTGTTGCGCATGCTAAAGTAGCTCAGATCCTTGTTGTAGCTCTGGATCTTGACAAACTCGCGCAGCTTCTTCTCAATGGGTGCACGCCGTGCCCGGATCGTGTCCGCCACTTCCGGGGCAAACTGTGTAAAGTACAGCTGCAGATTGTGCAGCGCTGCGATGAGCGGCTGCAGCAGCGGCTGATGCCGCTTACCGGCACGCTCCACATGATGCAAATACATCTCGAAGCCATGCAGCAGCTGGAGGCGCACATGGAAGTCACCAAAGCAGGCGGCCTCCACGAACTGGCGCAGCGTGCGTATTAGGTCGGGCAGCTGCTCGGCCTCGGCCTCGGCCTCGGTCTGGAGCAGATTGTAGATGAAGAACCAGTAGCGATATGCCTGGAGCTCCACCAGCTGACCGGTTTGATTGAGGCAATTGCGCCAATGCTGCAGCTCCAGCTTGGTCCAGCGTTGCACAAACTCCGCCACCTCGATCTCCTCGGCGACCAGATTGTTATTCTTGTGCGCCACCTCGTTCCACAGGGCCAGCTTCTGGCGCAGCAGCTGGAAGCCCGTGTTAAAGCGCACCACGCTCGCATTGGCGGGCAGCCGCCGTATCCTCGCGATGACCAGCTTGATGTCCGCCAGGCCAGCATGCTCCGGATAGAGCTCCAGCTGGGCCAGCACCCGCTGCTCTATGCGCTCGAGCACCTTCAGGCAGCCACTGACCTCGGCTATATTGGAGTCCTTGTAGTAGTCATAGCCTTGGCTGCTGCTCGACTGCAGCTGCTCCAGTTCCAGATCCTTGAGCTGTCGCTGCTGCAGCGCGAGGGCAAAGCTTAAGGCATTGTACACGCTCTCGTCCAGCGTGACGCCCAGCGCCGTCTTGTAGTGCCCATGCAGCTGCACAAATACCTGCAGGCGCGTTTGGTACGGCTGGATTAGCTGCAGTTGGTGCTGTTGCGGCGTCCGCTGCTCCGGCTGCTCCTTGTAGTTGACAGTTGTGTGTGTGCTCATTACGTCTATGAAATTGCGTGCGAGGAATACGTAATCCTGTTCGTTGACAATTTGCGCCAACTTGGCCTTGGTGTGCGCCTTCTTGTCCAGCTTGAGCACCTGCTCCAGCGTTGGCTTGTCCACAAACTCGGCAAAGTCCTCGTCCAGATGTGTGGGAAAGTTCTGCTCAATCTCTTGCAGTTCGACAAGCTCCTCATCCTCGATGCCGCCCAAGGTTTTCGTCTTGTACAGACTCTCCTCCTCGGCGCGCTGCTCCTTGCGACGCTGTTCCTCCTGCTGCCAGGTCCGATTGCAAATGTTCAACGCATCATCGTAGGCCGCGAAAATGGTCTCATCAATGCTCGACGCGATGCCGATAAAGTTGCGCAGCTCGCTCAGCTTCGCCTTGAGCAAGCGGAAGTATTCGTGTTCGCTGTGCGGCAGCTTGGCCAGCAGTCCGTAGACATGGCTATTTCTGATAGCCAGCGGCCGCTGTGCTGGGAACTGCACCATCTGTGCGATGGTCCGCTCCAGCTTGAGCGCCTCCTTGGCGCTGCCCGCCAGCAGCAGCCGGCTAAAGAGCTGCTTCAGCTGCTCCAGGCCGAAGCGCATCTGATTCACGGCACACTTGATGGGCTGCACAAAATCTTGGTAGTAGGCCGCATAACGCGCCAGCGTATGATGCACGAAGCGCTGGGCATTGGCCAGCCACAGCTCCAGCTTGTTGAGCAGCTCCGCGCCGAGGCGCAGCTGCGTCTCACTGGCCGCCTGGGCGCCCGCAAAGTGCGCCCAACTCTCCCGAATATTTACAATCAGCTTGTGCAGCGCCAGGCAGTCGCCATTGGACTTTAAGAAGTGCACCAAATCCTGTACCAGGCCGGCGTACAGACACTGCGCCGGCCGCAGCGCCAGCTTCTGATTAAGATGTTGCTGTTGCTGCAGCGCCGCGTGCAGACGGTGCTGCAGCTGGTCATAGATTTGCTGGCCAAAGTGCTTATAGCTCATGATGATCCGCATGAAATTGTAGACAGCGCTCAGATGCTGCAGACACTCAATATCCTCGGCCACATAGAGGTTCTTGAGGCGATTCTTCTCCACGGGATCGATCAGAGGCGTATGTGTCAGCACGCACAGCTCCAGAACGCCGATAAGCGTGTTTCCCAGCGCCGTATTAAAGCAGCTGTCCAAATATGGCTGCTGTTCCGGCAGCAACAACTGCTGCAGCACCTCCTGCAGTTCCTGCTTGCATTTGTCAAAGCCTGCATCCGTTTGGGGTAACTGCTGCTGTACATGCTGCAAATATTCCAATTCCCTGAGCAGCTGTCTGGCGCTCGCTGCCACCAGCTGCAGATTGTTGTGCTCTGGACTGTGACGGCGAGTCAGCAGCTGCGCATTTTGCCAGAGCAATTGACGCGTCTGCTGCAGCGCCTGACGCCAAGGCTGCAGCTCACTGAGAGGCACCGCCAGGAGTTGTCCATTGGGCTGGCAGAGCAGCGCCAGTAGTGCATTGGTTAATGGTGCACCCTGATAGCTATAGCGGCACAAAAGCTCCGGCTCGCCTGGCAGCTGGGCACAGTCGAAGCGCGTGGCCAGATTCTCCAGCTGATAGCACTGCAGCGCCTGGCGATATTGGCGCTGATAGCTGCGCAGCGCCTTGTAGCTGCCACCCAATTGCTGCAGCAGCGCCTCAAGCTCTGCGGGGTTGTGCAGCTTCTCCAGCTCCAAGGACAGCTCATGCCAGGCTAGCATTATGTTGCCGTGCGTGGCACTATCCAGCGTGTTTAGGCACTGCCAGAGATGTCCGTTCAGCGTGAGTAGCTGCTCGCTGTAGAGCTGATTCACTTGCTCATTGTAATCTCTATGCAGAGTCCTGCTTAGCGCACGCTCCATGAAGTAGTCACGCAGCGCGGGCAACAGCAACTGATATGTCTTGAGCTGAGGCGCATTTAAATCAATTACATGCTCATCGTCTGCCTCTTCCTGGCCAGCTGCTAGCTGCTCTCTAACCTGCGCCAGATCCAGTTCCAGCGCTGCTGCGACCTCCCCCTGCTGCAGCTGATCCTTAAGCAGCGTCTGCAGACGCAGCAAGACCGCCTGCAAATCTCCATTGACTCTCGCAGCAACTGGCAGCTCGAACTGCTTCAGACTGCAGTTGGGCGTGTGTGTACGCAAAAAGGCGCGCCATTTGTGCGCCTCATCCGATTGCAGGGCCAGCCATTTGTGCAGCCACAATTTGCTATCCATGTTGCCATATTGTGGCACCACATTCAGCAGCTGCTGCAACTGCGCCGCTTTCTCATGCAGGGTTATCTGTAAAAGGAAATATATTTGTATAGCTAAATATATATATATTAAGTAGTTTGTTCTGACTGACCTGCTGCTCCAGATAATAAGGCTGAAATTGTGTAAATTGCTTGGCATACATCTTGCAGGAGACGTTTATGGGTCGCTTGGTCTGCTGCACATAGGAGCTTAACTGCGCCAGGCTCCCGCGCAGTTCATCATGGACATCGAGGAGGTCAGGCCATGCCTCCACTAAGGCAGAGATTAGATGCTTCTCCACCCACTTGAAGTGCAGCACGAGTTTGTGCATCAACGGAGCATGCAGCTCGTTATTTTGCAGCAATTGCTGCTGTGCCGTGTCCAGCAAACGATTAAACCAGCTCAGTTTGGTCAGAAACTGAGCGTATTGTGGCAGCTCGAACCTAGCAAGGCCCAGATTCTGCTGCAACGCCAGCTGTAGGCTGGACAGAAAGCCAGAGAGATGTGAGAGAAAATCATTGCTATACTTGTCCGTTATCTTCTGCTCCAGCAGGGCCTGTGAGTATTGCAGCGCATCCAGGTGCTTCAGTTGGGTAACAGCTCGCTTGGGTATCTTGACCAGCAGCAGCTGGGCCAACAAGGCAGCACTCAGTGCCAAGGCGGCTTCTGGCCCGGCATCGTTTGGCTCCAGCTGTGTGGCATAGTCACGCAGGCGTGGAAAGAGTTTCCTATGCCAGGGCAATTCGGTAAGACTGCTTCGGAATTGCTTGCCCTGCTGCAGCAAGCAGGCATGTAAGCAAGCTGAGAGCTCCAGCAATTCGGGTTGATCCCGGAGGCACTGCTGCATATAAAGATGCCGCATTTGTAGGTCATCGAAGGCGCACACCTCGTACAGCATGTGTACAAAAAAGCATCTCAGTTTTTGCAGCTTCAGCTGACTCAGGTCAACCGCATCCATGGCCTGAAATAGCGACACGAGGTGTGCCTTGGGCACCTCCTGCTGCTCATTGGGCGCCTGCAGCAGCAGCTTCAAGGCGGCCGCTTGCAGTTTTATAAGCGCCAGTTCATCCAATTCATTTGTGTGCAATATAATATCGCTGAGATAATCCAACTGCTGCACTGCATCCTCCTCGAAGGTGTCTGTCTGAGCCAGCACCACTTCGCGCAGCTTGTTCTGATAGTAAGACAGACCGTAGCCCATCAAATCCATGCTGGCCGCATACACATACACCTCCATGGCGGCCACATAAATGGCACGGCGCAGCTCGTAGCCAATGCGTTTGTAGGCGGCGCTCAGGAACGCAAACTGTGTCAGATGCGATATAGTATATGGGTTAAATTCGGTCAGCTGAACGATGCCGCGATGTATGGCCAGCATGCAGTCAATGGCGGCCAGCTGATGCACGCCCTGGCCATGGACAATGGCGCGCATATCGTCCATGCTATAGGCATCCTTGGACGGGCATAGCGACAGCTCTACGCAGCGATTGCGCATGGCGCGCGAGAGCTCGCCGTTCTTGGGATCCACGGTGAGAAAGGCGCGAAAATTAGGCGCTTTGCGTACCACCTCAGCGCTATCCTGGCCGCTGATGCCTTTCTCCGCAATCAACAGGCTACCATTGGGCTCGAACACGGGATTCAGACGATCCAGCACAGCCGATGAACACAGATTCACGTGCTCCAGCAATATGTATTGGCCGCACTTTAACGATGTAACAATACGCGAATCCACCCACTCGAAGGAGCCGCCCGTGTTGAGTGAATCAGCCGATTTGATGTAGGCCTGAAGCAGCGTTAGCTGCGATTTGTACTGCGGCAGCTGCTCGAAGAGCGAAACGCGACATTTCTGTGGCGTCTGCGCCAGCTTGGCAATGATCTGTTCCAAAGCAGCCACGCGCTGCTCAAACTGCTGCAGCTCCTCGGCAACGCTGTGCTGTGTTGTTGCTGAAAAAGAAAAGATAAACGTTTGTTAAGAAAGGAAATAGAAGAGAGAACTGGACATGCTCACCTGTGCTCACTTTAACCAGCTGATTGTACTTGCTCCACACGGCCCATAGTTGTTGGACAAAAGTGTGTTCCTTCTGCTGAAGGAAAGCCCTTTGAGACACGTTAAATATCAACACCTGCACATCTTTGTATATGTCCTCCAGATGACGATTGAGATCGACCTGAAAAGGAGAAGAGATTCATGAAAATGTGCAGAGAATTAGAATCGCAACTAATCCCACCTGTTGAAAACTGCCCGTAACGGAATCATCAATGTTGTCCGAGTTACAAACGCGATTCGAGAGCACGCAGAGCGCATCGATTAGCTTGGTTTTGCCACTGTCTGTGGCGCCGCACAGCAGCAGCGGCTTCTCCATGTGCACCGTTTCCACAATTTGCTTGAGCAGCTGTCGCTGGGTGCCCAGCAGCAGCGGCGCCTGCTCCTGGCTTTGAGCCGGAGCGCCCAGCGGCAATTGCGAGCGCTGGAGCACCACATCGTTGAGATAGACCTTCTCAGTGGTCCAGTAGAGCGCCACATCCTCGGCAATGACATTCAGCTGCTCCGCATTGCAGTTGAAAATGCTGCCGAAGGCATCGCGTATGTAGAGCTTGTCCTGGTCGCACCGCATGCGCTGATAGTAGACCAACTGCATGCGCTCGTAGAGCGTGAGCAGAAAGCCCTGGAAGGCCACCTGGAAACTAGTAGCTGGCCTCAGCATCAGGTAGCCCGTTTCCGGATTGTGCAGCAGATCACACCAGCGCAAGATATCGCGCAAATTAAACTCGTAGGGCCCGCCCTTGTAGCCAAACTCCATCCTGGCCACACCGCGATCGAGTAGCTCCGAAAAGCGCACTAGGCGGGCGGCCAAATCAAACTCGATTTCGTCAGCGGCGGCGGCCGATCCACTGTGCAGCTCAAACAGATTGCCCTTGGGCAGCTGTGCCGCCTGCAGCAGCTCAGCAAAGTATTGCTTTAGATGCTCAAAGTAGGCGGCATACTTGACATTTACTACATGCAGCAGATCCTCGGTGCTCAGCTTGCGCAAGTAGACCTTGTTGAATCTATTAAGGAAGGATTGCGGCAAGCCTTTGCGTCCGCCGCCCTGCTTCAATGGATTCTGGCAAGCAAAGATGCGAGTGGTGTTCGTCAGCTGGAAGCTCTTGTTCAGCTCCGGTATGTAGACCTCGCCACGATGGTCCAGCACCGCATTGAGACCCTCCAGCACAGATTGCGGCGCCAGGTTCAGTTCATCCAGCAATATCCAAGTGTTTGGCGCCTTGAGCGCGGCCAACAGAGGGCCATCGCGCCACACAAAGCTGCCCAGTTGGCTCTGAGCCTCGACACGGTCGAGAATATTGTCCTCGGCGGGCAGATCGGTGCCAAAGAGATCAGCCAGATCCGTGTGCTCGCACAGATTAATGCGCACTATGTGATAGCCAATAGCATGCGCTATGCTCTCCACAATGGAGGTCTTGCCCACGCCAGGTGGTCCCTCCAGCAGCACTGGCTTCTGTAGCGACAAGGCTGAGAGCAATCGAAACAAATTCTGCTTGGTGGTGGGCGCATCAAACAGGAAATCCGCATTGGGAGGCATTAAGCGCTCCGGATTAACCGCTATGAAAAACGGACGTATGCCAAAGCGCTGCTCATCCAGCTGCACCTGTTGGCCACGCTTCTGGGCCAACTCTGAGAGATCAAAGAGCTCGCCGAGAATGCTAGCTGCTTGCTGGATGGCATACTCTATGATCCTGGCCTTGAGCGTCTCGATCTGTGTCTGCGATTCTTGCGGCAGCATTTCCAGTGCATCGAGAAAAATGGTCTCCAAGCCAAAAATGGCCTGCTCCGCGAAGGTCAAGTGCGAATTGCTGACCATATAGTTGGCCCAGGCGAGTATGTCGCGCACGGAGAACTTGAACTTCTCATTGGAGTCGCGTATGAAGAGCACAATCTCCACCAGATATTTGGCTATTTTATGTGTGTCCTTTAAGCTGCTGGCGCCGCGCTGCATGCAGTTGTGTGCAATCTCTATGAGATCCGGTTTATTGTCCGAGGGCAAACACCATATCTCTGTGAAGCGATTGCGCAAAGCCGGGGATAGTTCCTTCTTGCCGAAATCTCCACCTGGATTCATGGTGGCCAGAAACTGAAAGCCCGACTTGGCTTGCACAACAAATTCGTCGCTGGAATCGGGCTTGTTCTCATCAGCTGCCACTTGCTCCTCCAACACGCCACCTTTTTCGGTCAGCAGCACGCTGCGTTCCGGCTCCAGTATGCAATTCAGTCGCTCCAGCACCGAATCCTCTGCTAGGGATATTTCATCGGCCATAAAATATGAGCCCTCCTGCATGGCATAGATGAGCGGTCCGTCCGCCCATTCGAATAGTTTTTGTGAGTGTTGCGCATTGTGCTGGCCGCGACAGGGTCGTAAACCGCCTAAGAAGTCGGCACCTTCCGTGTGCATATGACAATTGAGAATGCGTAGACGCACCTGAGCAATGCTCGCCAGCAGCTGACAGACTGTGGTCTTGCCACAGCCTGTGGGACCCACCAGCAGCACAGGCTCGTCGAACTGCAGAGCCTTGGCCGTGAGCACCGCCATGCGTGTCATGTTTCGGGTCCAGACAATATCACCGCGCTGCTTAAAGTTGCGTATGGCATCCAGTATGCTCCGGCTGACGGCGGAGGACTCGCGTTGGGTGTTAATATCGAAAAGCAGCTCCAGATCGATGCGTTTCTTGAAGTTGCCATACAAGGTTTGCTCGATTAGCTGCAGCTCCTCGCCGGTGCGCACCTTGGCGGAGAGCACCAGGTAACCCTCCTCAATCAGGTGTTGATTCCAATCGTATTTAGTATCCTGCTGCAGTGCCTTGTCCGCCAGCGTATACCGATTTCCCCAGCGGAAGAGATCGCGCAGCGTAAACACCTGCTTTGAAGTATTCCTGCGATGCTGCTGCAACTGCGTCATGCACTGGACCATCTTACGCGCATAGGAGGCGGGTATAAGGCAGCGTTGCTCCAAGATAATCTCTAGCTCCGCTCGTGGAATATCCGCAAAGTGCAGCTCAATGAATCGATTCTTAAAGGCGCGCGACAGCGTCTTTCGTCCGCCATAAAGACCCGGCGGATTCTGTGTGGCAAAGAGCATGAAATTTGGATGCGCTTTGACCAGCGTCTGCGTCTCGGCTATATACAGCTCACGATTGTCGTCCAGCACACGATTAAGCGCCTCCAGAATGTCCGTAGAGGCCAGGTTCAGTTCATCCAAAATTATCCAATAACCATGACGCATGGCCTGCACCAGGACGCCCTCGCGGAAGCTCAGCTTGCCGCTAAGATCGGCCGCATAGGTGCCAATGTATTCCTGCAGATCCGTGTGCTCGTGATTGTTGATGCGCAGACAGCGATTGCCGCTGCGCCGGGCGACATAGTCAATAAGACTCGTCTTGCCCGCGCTGGTGGGTCCCTGCAGCAAAATGGGCAGCTTGCCAATGGATATGATGCGGGCCAGATCCTGCAGATTCTTCTTAACGCTGTCAGTTAATATGTAATGCTCGCAGGACTGCGGCTCCAGACTGCCGCGCTGTATCCAATAGCCCTCGAATTGCAGATAATGCTCGCCCAGCTGAGGCAGCGACATATTTAGCACAGCCTTGGGATTTTGCAGCAGTGCATCGCGTATGAGCAGCAGCACCAGCTGATGCGATTCCGGATCCAATTGTGTGAGAAAGCTCAAACAGAAGCTTTCGTACAGATTACGCTCAATCGAGCCGCACAAATTCCGGGCGCATATGCGCAGACTGCGGCAGAGTGTGCGCAGCGAGTAGACGGGCCGGTTGCCGAGGCCATCATTAAGCTGCAGCTCGGAGAGACGGCGCAGAGATTTGTATAGTTTCACAATGCTGTGCACCGATTTGCGCTGTATGCCTGTATTGGCCAGGTAATCACCAACCAGCAAACCCAAGTCCGCATCAGTGGTCAGTTCATCGACAAAGAATTCGGTGAAGCGATTGCGTATGCCCACGGGCAAATCCTTCTTGCCAATATCCGTATTGGGATTCATGCATGCAAATATGCGAAAATCGGGATGTCGCTTCACGGGCATAAAATCGCCACGTTCCAGCAGCACCACCGAACCCTCCGGCTCCAATATGGTGGACAGACACTCCAGTGTCTCAGCCGAGGCCAAATTTATTTCATCCAGCAGCACCCAATCTCCATTGCTGATGCTATTGACCAGCGAGCCGGGTATGAAGGCAAACGATATATTTATGCTCTTGTCCAGCTGCATTTGCAGACGCTGCAGCTTCTCGTGCAGCGTTTGCCAGCGTGGCAGCAAAGGATTTGACCTGTGCTCCGGCTTGCTAAACAAGCTATTCGTCACACTCAAGATGGTGCGTATGATGACGCTGTGGCGTCCATTGTTAAAGTGGGTGGCGAAGATGCGCAGAAACTGCAGATTCTTATCGGAATTGAAGGTGTGCCGAAACAGATGCTCAAACTCATAGCGCAGCGGAGCGAGTACATAGTTCAGCTCGACGGGCTTAAAGCCGCCCACTAGATCCGAGACATCTGATTGATTATTCATATTGATGGCCACCAGTTTATGGTCTGTGCGCTCTGCGAGAAACTGCACCGACGACGTTTTGCCCACACCCGTTTCGCCCACCAGCAGCACCGGCTCCGAATGACTGACACAGACCGCAATACGTTCCATTATGCAGCTGGCCAGGCGCGTAAACGAGAAGGTGGCACGCTTCGGTGGTTGCTTAAAGATTGTCTTTGTGGATTGCATTGTTAGTTTTTGTCTCTTCGATCCGCTTTGGCTTTCAGTGTTTGGCTCCTCCTCTGCTTTTATAGTCGGCAGCGTTGCGCGCCCAATCTTAAGGCTTTCTTTGCCAAACTCCACATCGGGTTTGTATTCATTGGCAAAATGTTCACAGCGGGATCTGATGATGCCCAACTTTGCGCCAATGTTCGTAATCAACGTTGTCTTCTCCTTGCTCTGCGGCAGATACGAACAGAAAACATCGACGGCATTTTGGAAGACAAAGTACGCGCACTCGGCGCTGGTCACCGAGAACTGAGCATTTGCGCGTTGGCACAGCTTGATTAGATCCCGTGTGGATACCAGACGACCCGAATTGGGCATGCTGGAGAGTGTCACCTGTTCGAAGGGCAGCGCTACATAATTCTCCTTGGTATCTGCCTTGTCGCTGCTCTCCTGTTGGCGCAAATTATCGGCAGCCGTGTGATTGCCACTGGAGAAGGTTAAGAAGACATCGACAATACGATTGGCAACGGTCGCCAATTTGTCATAATTTGTGCTCACGACCTTGCATAGTTCGTTGCGGGACAGCGGCAATATGTTGATGGTATATAGATATTTCTCCAGCAGAGAGTACAAAGATTTCTGGCTAGAGTTGCTAGACGACTTGTTGGTGCTGTCATAGAGAATTTAGTATAATGGTTAAAAACTCCAAGCTGCAGGGTTGGCCAACTTACCGCACAGTAACAAACAGCTGAAAGCCAGGCTCAATCTTGACGCAATCCCTAAAGCCAGGCACGCTCAGATAGTTGCGCTCCAAGAGGCTGCTCAATATTGTATAGGTATCCTGCGTAGTAGCGTCTAGATCCTCCAATAGCAGCCAGTAGCCATGCATGACAGCCTGTTAATTAATATAATTTAATATAAACAGGACGACTTTGGGGTCAATTAAGACAAGATATATTATGCTTACCTGTGTCAGCACGCCGGGCAACCAAACAAACTCGCCGGGCACATCTGTGCAACGATATTGACCCAATAGCATTTTACTGTCGGTCTGATCACCCAGCTGTATGCGCAAGAAACCATTCCTCTGCGCCAGCCCATCTCCATCTTCCAGCACCATAAGCTCCTCCAGTGGAACCTCGGCAATTTTGCGCTTCTCCCCCGCATTCTTCAGCGGTTTTGGTTTCTTTTTCGGTTTGAGTAATTCATCCTCTTCTTGCGTTTGCCGCAGAGCTTGTTCACGTGTTTTAATCTCCTTTGGCTTGGGGCAAATGCGTCCAGTCTTGCGCGCCAGATACTCTATTAAAGTTGTTTTGCCGCAACCAACGGGACCGGAGAGGCAAATGGGTTTTGCAGCAGCCACGCCCAGTGCTATGCTACGCAGATTTACACTGGTCGAGTCCACTATGACAATGCGATCGTAACACCCATCGTTTTCTCTATAGAATTCCTGATTGTCCTGGTTGAAGATGGGCAGGAGCACACCTTCGATATTGGTTACGGTTTGGTTGGCCTGCGACAGCTTCAGTGTGAGCTGCTGCTCCGGCAGATCTGGTAAATAGGTACATTTGGTGTATGTCGGCAGCGTCTCCTGTTCCTCGAACCGCAGCCGCACTTGGACGGGTACAGACGAGTTCAGCGCATGCAACTGTGTTGTGGTCATATCTGTCAGCAGGGCCAAGATGTGATTGCAGTACAGCTGCGACAACCGACATTCAAGTTGTTTGTGCGTATAGTTTGCCAGAAACTGTGACCAGTCCCAGAGCTCCCGATAGTAGACTGCGTCACTTTTCAACAGGTGGTAGCAGCACTTCACGATCTCCAAATCCAATTCCTGATCTTTCGATTCCTTCGAACCATTTGTAATTGTCTTTTTGGTCTTTTTACTGGGTATCTGCATGCTTTCATTGCTCTGAGTCTCCTCGAATGGCGCTGGTTTATTACGAAAGTAGCTCTTAGCAAATCTGGGTGTGGCATAAAAGACTGTTATGCTGGTTTAGCTTATTGGGCAGCAACTCACCTTTTTGCGACAACTGAAATCTGCAACAACCTGGACAAAGCAATGCATTCCAATTTGTATTGTTGGGCCTGAGTGGCTGCATCACAGCGCAGCGAATTGGTCAGCAGGAGCAGCAGGTGCTCCTCAAAGCTCAAGGCTAGGGGCAGGGTGTACCCAGGCAGCGTAAGTTGCTGGCTTAGACTGTTAAGCAATCGGTCCACATCTTTCTCCACGTAGAGCTTTCATAAATTGAAATGATATTAAGGGATTTTCTTATTGCTTGAAATTTTGATCAACTCACTTTCTTCTTGAGAAACTTCTGCAAATTTAATATAAACACATCGTCCTGGGGCTCACTGGCGGTTAGCTGCAAGAGCTTTTGTACACCACGACGCAGCTTGTTAATATTCACGTCCATAACTACGTCTTGGCTTGCATTAACACTTTGTTTTAAAGCACAATATCTAAGCTGACTTATTAACAATGCGAAACTTTAAAACACGTGCAATGCAATGCCCGGTTGAAGTGTGACCGCAGCCGTCGAAAATACTAAATATACAATAATACAATAATAATTCAGCTGCCCGCGCAACAGTTTGTTTACATTTTCGTGGCGAATGTTAAGCGTAGAAGAAGAGCAAGGCATCTAACTGTTTTTCGCGCACCATTCAAAATAACGAACGACATAAAATTTTACATTAGAAAATTTCGCTTTAACAGTGCTAAAATGTATTCAAATTATAAAATTTTAAATCTTAATGCACGCTCATCAACGCCGCAAGATAAGGAATCGTTTCCCACCATTAAACAGCCACATCGTGCTGGCGAATATAGTTTATCACCTGAGGGGCATTACGAAGATTCGCCTGCTCGACTCTGTTTTCTAACCCAACTGGGACCAAACACATTTCCGTTTTCTTTAAACGCAAGCGGGGAGGCTATGAGCACGGAGCAATCCTTTTTAAAGCCAAGATACTTGGATAATATGTTCTGCTTCTTGCGTTGTTCAATGGAAACACTTATTAAACGCCACGAAAACGGACATCTGCAGGTGGACGCGGATATTGTGTGCAGCCGGGAAACATTACAGCTTATAATGTGCGCACCGTATGAATACAAGAATAATTGGACAATTGCCGTAAGCAAGTATCGCAACACCATATACATATGCCCAGTGCCCAATCCGGAAAGACCACAATCGTTCGTTGATCCCGAACATTTAAAGAAACTAATGATGGACCATTGGATGACAAAGCTGCGGCAGCGCTGTCTGGTAGCAATGGGTAACTATTTGAACCCGGCTGTTACGTAATGATACGCCCTATTTCTCAAATTTCAGATGACGACATTGTCCAACCTGGTTCTTATCAACAGAAGAAGCTGGATGGACAATACTATTGTGTGTTTAGTATGAATATATGTGGCTTAAATGTGCTATTCGATGCACCCATCTTGGCTGAGCATTGTCCAAATCCATTGTAAGTACACATACCCTTGTAAAACGGCCGCCCAATAATAAATGTGCCTGTTCTTCATAGCATTGGACTGCCCAAAACGTTTGTAGATTTAAGGATGCGCCTAGATACGATGAGCCGTACCGAATGGTCAGCCCATAATCGCAACGTGGTTCTCAAATGGTGGGTCGAATCCTTTCTAGTTGGCATTGAGAAGGTTTACATTGCTTACCACGATAAGGAAGGCTACGTGCAAAAGATTAAACACACAATGGTTCGCGAGCTGTGGCGGGAGTGCGTGAGTAGTCGAAATCATTTAAAGCTTTATCAATAAATTTATAACGAAGTACTTACAGGATAACGATTGGTCGCCAAATATATGTGGCAATTTTCTGCGACGTCTTCTAGGCTCAATTCAGTTGCTGTTGGCAAACGTGGACAGCGCCAGCACGGTTTACCTGTTGGAATACGATTCAAAGAATGGAAGTATTACCTACAAATACTGTAAGGAGCGTAATGAACATTCGTTTATACCCGACTGGTTTCGGATTCTGATGGAGGAACACATGGACCATCTGAATGCACAAGTTCAACATCAAATTTAAGTGTATTACAATATTTATGTGTACATACATAGTGTTAATAAGATGAAAGTAGTTATTACGTTTATTGACAGTATTAATTGAATTTCAAGAAATCATCACACTATTAAATAATTTAATACACATGTGTTTTTTGCGGTTGGCTGTTGGCTGAGAATGCATTCGATTTTACAAAAATATGGAAATGCTACTTGAGTTACACGCTAATTTAGATGTACGCAGACGGCGAGATGGCGTCTACAGCTCGGTCTTCTTGGGCTTGCCGCTGCGGTCGTAGCCCTTCAGTTCTGTGGTCGCCTCCTTGGCAATGTACTTGATAAAATCATCGATTTCGCGACCGCCATTGTAACTGACGGGCTTGTTCTTCGAATCCTTTGGCAGCCAGAAGAGCGTGGGGAAACCGCGCACATTGAACTCTGGCGGTACATCGTTGGCAGTGGCATCCATTTTGACAATGGCCACCTCTTCGTTCTGCAGCTTCTCAGCCAGCTCCTCGTATATGGGGGTCAGTTTTTTGCAGTGACCGCACCAGGGGGCATAGAACTCGACCAGCGTATCCTTGCCATTGTTAATAACCACCTCATCAAAGTTCTTGGCCACGGCAACCTTAACAGGCGCATCGTTGGATTCTGGAATCGGTTCACTCTTGATGTACGGCTCCAGCTCATTGTCCAGCAACTTCTCAACAAAGTCTTTCAGACTGTCCACGGAGAACTCCTCCTTCAACGCATACTTGAGATTCTTGGCGTCGCGAGCCAAAACGACGGGCTTGTCACCAACAAAATCGTAACCATACTCGTTCAATTCATGCTGGAAATCATCCTTGGAACTGATGGCAAAGTTTATCTGGCCGACAAACTCCTTGGCTACCTTAAGCACACGATTGCGCCAGTAATTGGTGCCCTTGGGGTTCTTCTGGTAATCAACGCTATAGTAAGCAGTGATCAGAGGATTCTGGAAATCGCGGGATGTGTCCTGGGTGCGATGACCAACCAAGCCATGGCTGCAAAAATGAACATTAGCTAACCGAGCAGTAAACGGAGTTAATTACTGTAACTTACAAGTTGTCCTTTATGAAAGTGCTCAGATCGGACTCGGAGCTGCCCTCAAACTTAATAGTGGAAGACTCGAATTTGTTGCTCAAGTGTGGGGCACGTATCAGCACAATCTTATCTCTGTATGGAAGATAAATTGTTTGCGATTAATTGGATTTCCTCTACTTAAACAACTAAAATACAATACTCTACGTTTTAGAACTTAGGAAACTATAAAATCTGGCTTGGAAATTGCAATATGATTCGAATTGCAATGTATGAAACAAGACATTACAAACTATTTATTAAACTTAAGAAATATATATAGTTATGAGTTATATATGCATGGATATCTCATATCCAACTACCCCATCTTGATTCTTGCGCATGCACTCGTCCCTCACTTACGCGCATGCACTCGTCCCTCACTTACGTTTCGCCTTGTTGCTTCAGCACGGCCTCGTTGTCGCTGTGTCCAAAGCGATATTTTTCGCGGTTCTTATCGGCAAACTTCAGGAAAGTCTTGGCCAATTGAGAGTCAATATCCTTAAAGTATCCAAAGATTGTGGTATCCTTGGTGTCCAGGAACTTAGCGAGCTCCTCAATGCTGCGCACCTGCTTGGAGGCGGGTCCCACCTGGGCGCGCATGTACTTGGCAATGCCATTGGCCTCGCGTGGCCCATTATAATCTTGCGACACCTCGTCCTGGCGGAAAATTTTCAGCGTGGGATATCCGCTGACCGAGAATTTATTACAAATTTCCTTGCCAGCTTCGGTACAATCAACCTGTTTCACAAAAATATGAGTTTGTAGTGGGCGCATTAACCGACTCTAATTTTCATTTAGTTTACCTTTGCCAATTTGATTGGGGGATCGTCATCCTTGACTAGCTCAGCCGCTTTGGCATATTCGGGCTTTAAGCGCTTGCAATGTCCGCACCTACAAAATGAATATATATGTTTTGAGACACTTTACATAGTTCTCCAAATAATTTAATTGTCGCTGTTTATCAACACACAAGTTCCCTAAAATTAATGAAAGCGCTCTTATCTCCTGGGAGACGAAGTTGAAATACATATAGAATATTTGCTTTATATTTGTTGCAAAGACTGTGCTTGCTTTACGGACTCAGCTTTATCGCCCGGCTCTTAATGCTGATGAGTATATCTTCATAGTTTTAGAAATGTCGCTTACTTACAGGCAATAATTAGAAAACTAGTTGCGCCTTTTATTAGCGTACATTTAATGTGTCTTATCGTACAACGAACAAGCGACTCAATTAATTAGCTTGTTCTGTGCTTATGCTCCAGCTGATAAGGTTCGCTTGAGATGTGGTTGGCCCGGCCGGCATTTAAAGCTGGAAGACTTGCTTTCTTCTTTGTCTACACAAATACCAAACCACAAACACACATGCATACATACATGTGTATACACAAATGTACATGCATAAGGCAGGCAAGTTTACAGCTTACTTTATCAGCCCGCACACACACAAAAAGCTTCTATTTGCACATACATATGTACATGTAGCAAGTTTCTACTAAAATGGCCGACTATGACATGTCAATCTCGATAGGTGCCCTTTCTTCGCACGGCAGCGCTGACGTGTACTTTTAATGCGATTAATTGCGACACAAGTGCACTTATATATTTACAATTATGATGCGACAAATGTAAACGACCACGCCCACAGCCCACTTACCAGGGTGCATAGAACATAACCAATGTCGTCTCATGCTGCTTCAAAGTGGATACGAAATTGTCGTCACCGAGTTCCAGCACATCATGTTCGGCGCCGGCAACACTTGCAATAAAACCGTATATAAGCACTGCAGCTACTAAGCGCAACATTTCGTTATTTTGTTTTTCACTTATTTAAAATCAGAAATATATATATTTCTATATATATGTATATTATGAATACTGTCTTTCAACCGCCTGCTATGAAAATGTACGTCCAGGCCGGTCAAATGCTTTACGAGAATTGGGTTCGCTTTGATGGGTTAAGCCACGTCATTGACATTTTATAACACTGTTGGGGGAGTGACTGCGCACTTTAACATAGACCACTCCACCATTTAACATGAATATTGCAATAGAACAAAATCGCATAAGACGGCCACACTGTACGCTATGCTCTCGATACTCGCGGTGCAACTCTGTAACGCCACGCTTGCAGAAACGAGGCTACAAGCTTCCTGTTACGACGAACGCTCGTTCACTTTGTTCAAGTCTGTCGCCGGAATAGCATAGACTTTGTGATTTCTCATTCAATTTATTCGAGAGTAAGTTCTGTTACCAAGTGAAAAGAAATTTAGGTGCATACCTGTTTAAATCAAATATGTGCAACGAACTAGCCTAGTGCAGCAAACAATTAGTTTATAAACAAATATGCAATTGGACTTTACAAATGTGCATATTTGTTAAAATGTGATGTGTATGTTTATCTGTGCACTCTAAAGTTAACCTATAAGGCGGCGCAAAGTGAAAGGTGGTGACGATGACCGATGCGCAAACACGTGGCAAACAGCACAAAGAAAATTTCACCATTGCTAAATTGTTTATAGTATTTGATTGTCCAAATGAGTCACTTCATTTTCTGCAATATGGTGTAATTGGTGCGGATGCCACGCCCACATGTGCGTGGTACATGTGGATGGTCCATTATTAGCTACGACTAATTAGAGCGCACACAAGTCAATTTGTATCGGAAAAAAATGCTCAAATAAAAATTTATTTAATCAGTTAAAAATGCAAGAAAGTTGCTCAATTATACCAGCAAACGTGGTTTTTTTTTGCATGCGCGAAATTTTCCGCCTTTCTCTATACGTATGGGCATAGAATTTCAAGATGGCGGCTCACAAAGCGATGGTGTGACTGAGTAAAAGTGCTTGCAATCACAAAAAGTCAATCGGTGCCTTCGCCGGCATTGCTTATGCATGCGAATATTGAATATATTGCGAAATCAGAAATGTCACCATACCAGCACATATGAATAATGTTATCTTGGCATACACTCTAGGCCAAGATGGCCGGCAGTCCGCAATGCACTTTAGTTCTTCGATCGCTGCTCCTCTGTCGCGCAGCCTAACCACTGCTTGATCGTCTGCCTTTGTTCGTACTGCCCGGTCGCCATTTTCTTTGCTTTCTCGCTCACTCACTTGCGCCACTGAGGCAGCCGGCAACAGCGTCATGCACACATATACATACACACAGCCACATGGCTAGATTAGAATTGCTGGAAATTTCTTTGCACATATATGTATATTGAATATGTATATGTGTATAGATGACATGTATACATATTAAATTTTATTTAAATTCTAGTTCTCGATTTAAAATGATGATATTTATTCAGTTCTGCTACTGAAGAATTTTGACGAAAGCAAAAATACCAAAATCACTGAAAAATCGAGTGTATAATACTAGTAACAAATTGGACCTTTTTTTGTATAATTCTTCTTTTTTTTTCTTTGCACGTTCCTTTTTGTTGCCAGTTTCGTTTGTGCCTTTGTTACACACACTTCCACCACCGCGACATGCGGCTAAACCTAACCTCAAAGCAGAGTGCGCTCGCGATGCCGAAGTGTGGAAAATGCGAACGCAAACACGTTTCGTTTTGAGGTTAGGTTGAATCGCTGGCATGCGAACTAGAGTCAAATTTTATGAGCGTTGGCAAAAATGAATTTTAGTCCATTTTAAGAATTTCTCTGTACTCAATTTACTAATTTTTGTTCCCATGTTAATTATTTTTTTGCTAACAAATTTTGTTACCCCTCTGTTTCTTCCCCCCGATTGCTGGTTCTACCTATGTGAACCCATTTTACACACACCCTCACAAATACACACCTGATGCACGCTATGAATCCCACAAACAAACGAACCCAACAGCTCGTATAAAGCAAGATGGGTAAGGAAAAGATTCACATCAACATTGTCGTGATTGGACACGTCGACTCTGGCAAGTCCACCACCACCGGTCACTTGATCTACAAGTGCGGTGGTATCGACAAGCGTACCATTGAGAAGTTCGAGAAGGAGGCTCAGGAAATGGGCAAGGGCTCGTTCAAGTACGCATGGGTTTTGGATAAATTGAAGGCCGAGCGTGAGCGTGGTATCACCATTGATATCGCCCTGTGGAAGTTCGAGACTGCTAAGTACTATGTGACTATCATTGATGCTCCTGGCCACAGAGATTTCATCAAGAACATGATCACTGGTACCTCCCAGGCTGATTGTGCTGTCTTGATTGTTGCTGCTGGTACTGGTGAATTCGAGGCCGGTATCTCCAAGAACGGTCAGACTCGCGAGCACGCCCTGCTTGCCTTCACCCTGGGTGTCAAGCAGCTGATTGTTGGCGTCAACAAGATGGATTCGTCTGAGCCACCATACAGCGAGGCCCGTTATGAGGAAATCAAGAAGGAGGTGTCTTCATACATCAAGAAGATCGGCTACAACCCGGCGGCCGTTGCCTTCGTGCCCATCTCCGGATGGCACGGCGACAACATGTTGGAACCATCGACCAACATGCCATGGTTTAAGGGATGGAAGGTGGAGCGCAAGGAGGGTAACGCCGATGGCAAGACCCTCATCGAAGCCCTCGATGCTATCCTGCCACCCTCCCGCCCAACTGAGAAGCCCCTGCGTCTGCCCCTGCAGGATGTCTACAAAATTGGCGGTATTGGAACAGTACCCGTCGGTCGTGTTGAGACTGGTGTCCTCAAGCCAGGCTGCGTTGTTGTCTTTGCCCCAGCTAACATCACCACTGAGGTCAAGTCCGTGGAGATGCACCACGAAGCCCTCACCGAGGCCGTTCCCGGAGACAATGTTGGTTTCAACGTTAAGAACGTCTCTGTCAAGGAGCTGCGCCGTGGCTACGTTGCCGGTGACTCAAAGGCCAGCCCCCCCAAGGGTGCTGCCGATTTCACCGCTCAGGTCATCGTGCTGAACCACCCTGGCCAGATTGCCAACGGCTACACTCCAGTGTTGGATTGCCACACCGCTCACATTGCTTGCAAGTTCGCTGAGATCAAGGAGAAGGTCGACCGTCGTTCCGGCAAGACCACCGAGGAGAACCCCAAGTTCATCAAGTCTGGTGATGCCGCCATCGTCAACTTGGTGCCCTCCAAGCCTCTGTGCGTTGAGTCGTTCCAGGAGTTCCCTCCTCTGGGTCGTTTCGCTGTACGTGACATGAGACAGACTGTCGCTGTCGGTGTCATCAAGGCTGTCAACTTCAAGGACGCTTCTGGTGGCAAGGTCACCAAGGCCGCCGAGAAGGCCACCAAGGGCAAGAAGTAGCAAGTTTCCATCGAGAACAACAATAACATCAACTACAATAACAACAGTAACGTGATGAAGCAGCCACAACTCAGCAGCAACAACAATAACAACAGCAACAGCAACAATGATAAGCACAACAGTAGTAGAACACATACACCTGTCCTGGGCAAGATGAATGATAAGATGATGTTCCAGCAAAAGCAAAAGTTTAATTTTTTCCATCGCAAAGAGTTTCGTCGGATACGAATGTTAAACGCCATCGCCGCCTAGACGATTGAGAGGAGGAGCAACAGCCGCAGAATACGAAAACTTTACACCCTCGATCTTAAGTTTACCTACATATATATATGATATTGTACTAAATTGATTTTATAATGATATCATATTTCATAGTTCGTATAATTTGTGTAGCAGTAGCGCAGGCGTATAGCATTTATATATTGTGTATTCGTTAAAATTAAAGTTTTGATTTTCCTATATCTTATCCTTTTTTTTTTGCGCAACTACTTTGTACACTAATTTTGAAACAAGAAGCAGAACACAATACTAGAAGCAAAAAGATAACTCTATTTACAACAAAAATAAACACATTTTGTATTTATTCTGTTTCCATATGATTTTGGGTTGCGAATTTTTCGTTTTTTCAGCTTAGTTCGATTTTATCATTTTGTCTGCCAAAAATTTGTAAAAGTACAAACTACACGACGAGAAGTACAAGGAACTGCAGAACTATACAACAGAACTTTACCTCATTTAAACGAAAATACCAGAGTCTTTGAAATAAATCATATAATTGCAAATTGGGACACTCGACTCGTTTTTTTAATTGAGTATATCTCGACGATGACATGAATGGAAAATTTGGCAACAATGTTCACCTCGTCAAAAGCCTTTGGAATAATCCATTAAATGGTTGAGCAAAGCCATTTTAAATTGCTGCTAGGCTGCTGGCACCTATTTATTAATTACTAGAGCAGGATCTTTATAGCATACCTTGAGATGCCGTCGTGGTTTCTCCTCCTGTTCTTGACAAGGATCCTCGTAACGTATTCCATAGGGTGTTACAATGGCGCACTTCATCAAGTATTTACCAAACTTTTGGATTTGCATTGCCGTTATGCTATCTAGCACCCAGAGGGGCGACAAATAGATGCGATCGTCCTCTGCGCGTCGCTTATCGCCCACAATAAACTTGGCTTTATATCGATTCTCAGTTAACTTGGCGCCACCCAGCAGCAAAAGCTCCTTAATATTATTGAATGTTATGGGTCGGCACAGGGATGATACGTAGAAGGTCTCCATGTAGCGAAATAGTTCGCAACGATAGGATAAGCCGAAGGCCTGACGTTCGGTGCGGCAAATCTGGCAGGGATTGGGTATGTAAATTAAAGCAATGTTAATTTTTGATTAATATATTTGGCCAACTCACTTCAACGGCTCGCGAAAATGAGGTCAGTTCATATTTCTCCTCGTTCACCCACTTGCCGACACGCATCGATTCGAGCACCCACTTGTAGCTGACAATCCAGACGCCGCGCATCAAACCACGCAATAGATTTAGCGTGCGACGCGGCTCCAGGCTAACCAGATGGGTGGTGCGCTTGGTGACCGTCGGATCCAGGCGCATTCCACGCAGTTTGCGTATAGCCTGAGATGGCGTGTCACAAAACAGAAGGTCAATTGGAAGATATTGGATAATTAATGGCAAAACCATTAATTGGCTACACAAATACAAACTTAACTTTGTATTTGGCTTATTTTTGTATTTTTTTTTTTTGTTTCTTAATAATCGATGTGTAATTTATTCGTGTGAAAGCTCAAGAAATTAATATTTTACGACTACTCCGGGTTATCCATGTTTTATCAATAATTACGAAATTCATGAGCTAGGGCATAATTATAACAAATGACACAACTGTGATTATAAACTAAAGAAATCGAATAAATCTCTCTCCTTATAATCACAATTGCACTACCTTTGCATAGGATAGGGACGAGACTACCAACTAGCGAGCACAAGAGTCAAGGACTAGCCCATCTATACAATGTAAAAAATTATATGCAATATAGAAATATCTCCAAAAGTCTGTCGTTTAATGCAGCGTTGCCGTATTACCAACCTTATGGATGACCTGCACCTGATCCCTGTGCATATTAGTGTGCACCATCGTAAAGACTGTGCGACGCTTTTTTGGTGATCGGACGCAATCGCCATGCGACTCAGATGCGCTATCTATTGTTGTCTCTGATCCACACGGTGTCATAAACTCCTCATTGCCGGGCTCACTTTTTTGCACAGTTGGATCAACCGCTGCCGTTGGCTTCAGCGCCGACAAAGTGCGTCGTCGCTTAACTGTGTCGGTTGAGGCGTTGCTAGTGCCGCCGATGCTTTGGCGTGATTTACCGCTCGAATATGATGATGATGGCAGAACGGCTATTTCTTCGTTTGGCGTATAAAGACGCCTCATTTTTGATTCAGTCAATTTTGGTTCCTTGTTTATTGCATCCAATACCACTGCCTGCAGTGGCGCCAGGGCACGGCTCTCGCCCAACTCGGCCTCATTGGCCAAGGCCAGCGAGCGTCTTTGCGACGTTGTATTTATCGTATTGATGCGCTCATGAATAAGCTCCATGTCCACATTGAACAGCGAGCGTCGACGATTGACGGAGCTGCCACCGCCGCTGCCTGGCAGCCGGGTTGAGCTGAACACCGGCACTGGCGTGTGCTCACTGAAGCTGTCCAGAGATGTTTGTGTGGTCACATTCTCCATGGATTGCACCAGGTAGGGATTTCTGTTCTCATCGTTTACTTCGCTTATCTCCATGTGGTCGGTCGTGTGCACCGTGCGGCGTTCAGTTGCTCTGCTAATGATAACAGCACGTGACATGCAGATCTCCATCGTTTGTTGCACATAATTGGTTTTGTTAAAAATCGTCGGCGTCTTGGTCTGAGCGACAGGTGTGCTCATGTCCATCGAGCTGGTAGTTGCGGACTCCACCAATGGCTCCTCGGCGATGGCTTGAAATGTGGGTTTCTTCAACAGCTTCGGTGTGCTGGGCTCCATAGTGGAGACGCTGCGGCGACGTGCAATGGACTGTTCCGATTGCACCGGCAGCTCAGGCATTGCTTCGGCAATCGGCGGTGCAGCTAGCTGCAAGGAGCTACGGCGACGTGGCATGCGTGGCTCGGTCTCTGCCACAACTGCTGCTGGCTCTAGCCCCTTTTCCATTTCAATGCTTGTTTTTTGGGACATGCTTAATAAGCTGCTGCGCCGCCGTGTCATACGCGGCTCCGAATGCACTTTACAAGCGTCAAGCTCTGCCGTTAGGGCCCCGCACGCTGAACTCCGGCGTCGACTTGCGCGCAACGGTGTCGATACCTGAGTTGGCTGCACTGTTAGGGAATTGCTCCTGCGCATATTGACACGTTTTTCATCGCCGAAGTCTAGGCTCTTCTGGGCCGTTGGCTTTTCAATGCTGACATCTCCAATGCGATCCAAATCAACTTCATTTGTTTTTTCCATTTGGGGGGCGATGTCGACTGCCTGGATTTGCGTTTTGAGAGGCGTGAAAGAGCCGTTAGTTATTCTGTGGTTAAAAAGAAAAAGGAAAAAACACACATTTTAGAATTTGGACAACCAATTGATCAAAAATTATTTCAGATGGAAATTGACAGTAAATGCGATTCAAATGTACCTATTCAGTAAGTTGGTAGCCGGCGATTCTGTGGGCTCGCCTTCGGCCAGGTGCTTGGTCTGGCTAAGTGGCTTAAAGAAACGTGTGATGTCATTCTGCAAGATTGGGATGAGAAAACTATATATCCGGCTTGGTTAACGGCAGAGAAATCAAGACTTACCTTTGGCGTGGTTGTTGATGTTAGTGCCGATCGCTTTTGAGTATCCTCCTTGTCCTTGGTGTTGGTGGGTGTACCTTGGCGCCTGCGCGACCGCTTATTGAGCTCGGAATCCGGTTGCATGCAACGCACGCGCTGCAATGGGGCATGAAATAAGCGTCAACGTCAACTGATAAGCCAATAGAGACCTTTGTTTTTGGTACTGCTGGTGCGACTACTGCTGCTGCTGCGTCTGCTGCTTTCGCAACTGCTTCTGTCAGTCACTTTTTAGCTAAAAACCACTGTTTTATTTGTTTATAATGTACGTGATATCTCAGCCGTCGCTGTCATTTGTTGATATTAGCGCGATATTATCTCTTGTGGGCGTTCTCTTTAGTCCGCATGTGATGAAAATTAGTTTTGACTGCTCTCTCAATGCAATTTTATATATAAGAAACATATTTAAAAACAGCATTTGAATGTTGCTGTCATTAAATAAAACAAACTTCAATGTTTTAGCTGATTTAAATGCGTTTTACGTTTTCATTTGAATTTAAACGCAAACAGGTGTGGCAACACTGCCCGTGGTATTGCAGCCCTGGGTCTGCTCACTGCGCTTGCGCCGTTCTGGCAGCGAGCAGAGCAAGAGCAACCACCGCCGTTGTATAAAAATTGCTACAGCACAGCCGACAGCCTCAGTCTGCGGCTCATTCAGTGTCGGTCGCGCTCAATTAGAAGTTGTCGCAAAACAGAAACAACGAATAAAATTTTTAACTAGCAGTATTACGCGATAGTACAACATTCCATATACTAAACACAATTCCACTTAAAGCACGCATCCGCGATAGATAAGCAACAAGTGTGACAGCCCCGATCCCTCAGCGTCCATAAGCCGAAATTCATTCAGCAGCAGCAGCTGAGAGCGAAGGGAAAAAGAGAGAGCCAAACAAATCGAAAATATTGTTTGTTTTGCCACAATTGTCAAACGGAACTAAAATAAAACTAAAACAGAACAAGCAACAACAAAACAGAATCAGTGCGAAGAACAACTAGGAACGTGGCACTTTGCAGCAAGTAAACAAACTTGCGCCCTGCCGCCCCCTCTGCCCGGAGTCTTCCGCGTCTGTTGCAGTAGCTTGGGAAATAATTAAAAAAAGAAACAATCAAAACTTGTTTTTGTTTCTTCACGAACAGATACCGCGATAACGAGTACACGAGTACATAAATTATAAGAACGCCAGCGACTTAGCCAAGAGCGAAACCTAAGCAGACAGACTCCCAAGATGATAGCTGGCTATGGACCTGTCACGCAAGCTCTGTTGGGCACGCTGCTCACTTGGGGCCTGACGGCCGCCGGTGCCGCGATGGTCATATTTGTGCGTGGCACTCAGCGACGTTCATTGGATGCGGCGCTGGGCTTTGCGGCGGGCGTCATGATCGCCGCCTCTTTCTGGTCGCTGCTTGGACCGGCCATCGAAATGGCCGAGAGCTCGCATCTGTATGGCGTCTACTCATTCCTGCCTGTGGCCGGCGGCTTTCTGCTCGGCTCAATCTTTGTGTACGGCTGTGACAAACTGATGTCGTATCTGGGGCTAAATAGCACCAACATGATGATACAGATGACGCAGAGCAAGGACAAGGCGGACATTGCCATTGACGAGCTGAAGCGCAACGGTGCCGCCGCCAGTGCACGACATGCATCTAAGAGCCTGGACAGTTTCTCGGATTGTCTGAGCGTGCAGCACAGTGGCGAGTCGCGTCGCCGCAAGAAGGGCAGCATCAACGAAGTGGAGCAGTGTACTTACACAGCGGAGGCGACACTCGAACAGCAGCGCGCGCAGGAGGCGTTGTCGCAATGGAAACGCATCATGCTGCTGGTGGTGGCCATTACCGTGCACAATATACCCGAAGGCCTGGCGGTCGGTGTCAGTTTCGGCGCCGTGGGCACCACAAACAGCTCCACATTCGAAAGTGCACGCAATCTGGCCATTGGCATTGGAATACAAAACTTTCCTGAGGGATTGGCCGTCAGCTTGCCGCTGCATGCAGCCGGATTTAGTGTGATGCGCGCGCTCTGGTATGGCCAGCTGTCGGGCATGGTGGAGCCCATCTTTGGTGTGCTCGGCGCAGTGGCTGTCACATTTGCCAATCTTATATTACCCTATGCGCTGTCCTTTGCTGCCGGTGCCATGATCTATATAGTGGCCGACGATATTCTGCCGGAGGCGCATGCCAGCGGCAATGGCACAATTGCCACATGGGGCACAGTCTCTGGTTTCTTAATAATGATGTGTCTCGAGGTGGCGCTCTCATGATCTGGCCACGCAACAACGAAGCAAACAACGCACTTGTTCCTAGCAGAATTCCACCAGGGCACAGACAGCAAAGGACTCGCAAATCATTTTAGTGTAAATTTAAATTATCGCACGTACTTATTAATGCGCATTTGTCTTGAATGTAAATAGTTTAATGGAACCGGGCTTTATGATATTCGTATTGTTCTTGTTCGATTCTTTTAAATGTACATATGTGTATGTATTTGTTACAATCTCAGAGAACGTTGCCTGCAGTGCGTTTAACGCCAGCCCAAAAAGCAGAAGAAAAAAGAAAAAACCCCAACCGTAACTAAGTATTTTTATATAAGCGACTTGGCGGTAAACAGACGTATGCATGTGCAATAGGTTTTAAGTTGTCAGCGTCTTTCTTCTTAAAAAAAAAAAAAAAAAAAAAAAAAAACAACAAAAACAAAACTGTCGTAATATTTATAAGTAATAAAACATAATGTCTTGTACGTATAGTACAATATATATTAAGAATTGCATTTGTTCTCAACCTGGATACTTTGCTATGATGCGCCTTCTATTACCAACTTCCTGGGCACTGATAAGCACGGCCGCCGCAAAAAACACGTTGTGTTACACGCAAATTGAATTAGATAACCCAACGCGTACAAACAAACAACAACGCCCAGGTAAAGTGCCTGACATTTGTTGTCTGTGATAAGAATCTGTCGAGCGAAAAATACGTGAACTTGCAGACGGCACTCAAAAGGGGCTCCACAAACATATCGTTTCCATTTTTAGGGATTTGTGCTGCCATTTTTGCAATAAACAACAATGCTCAAATCTAATCAAAAAGGGCAGACCGTAGACTTGCAAAATCTGACCAGTTGTCCGATACCCAAAAGCGTGAGAAGTCCGAATCTTAACTATTGAACTACAAACATGAGCGTACGAAAGAAGGTTGCTCAGCTGCTTACAGAGTATCTGCCAGCCTAGCATACTATTGCTTGCTGTTTGCTTTTGGACAAGAGATTTTATCTGAGTCATTGTCGTGGTTGAGCGTGGTACAGCGATTCGGTGGGTCTTATCAAGAATGTGGGGTGAACCAAACAACTAATCAATTTGTTTATTTTATACTATTTTTATGGCATCAATAAACCAATTAAATAGCCACTAGTTTTAAGTGGAGCTGATACACCCGAAACAATTAAAACATGGGTTATTTACAATGCCTGATGGCTTACGCTGGGTGGCAACAACAATCGGTGCTTGAGACATGACACAATAAAAATTGTTATTTACACATTTGCAGGCAGCTATCAATAATTTGCATTGATATAAATGCAGATGGAGGCTCGTCCAACCACACGTGTTACAAGTCATGGGCAAAACCAGATTTCTACTAACTATTATAAGCATAGCATAATATATATGTATATTGGAATACTTACCGACAGTTTACCGTAGAGCTCCGGGTATTCATACATGTGAATATTGCTAATGGGAAACTGTTGTGGATCGCACAGACGTCGTTGCACCTTGCAGGCCTCAATCCACAATATGGACACAATTGGTATGTTCCAGCTCTGAGCGCGCTTGTAGGTGGACAATAGGCCGTCCTTGAAGACCACATGTGTGGTATTGCTGCCAAATGAATTTGTATTTAAACATTAATATTGATTAGTTTTTTCAAAGAGTCAAACTAACCGCAACAGACGATCGTTCACTTGGGCGCCCAGCTTGGCAATGATGGTCTTTACGCCCTCGGAACGATTATCATTGCCAGTGCGCACTTCAACGTAGACAATGACGTCCTTTAAAATCTCCGAGAGCGTTAGCGGCGCTGGCGGGTTGCGTTCCTCGGCTGTAATTATGCTTATTTCAGCATGTGGCACATCAAAGTTGTTGTAGATGGCTCTGGTGGGACTTCTGCTTGCACAGGATACAAACACACAATCATTTCGGATAACGATTAGTTCAATTTCTTTGCTCACTTAAGGGCACGCATTGCGCGCATGCGCAGCGCGGCGCTGGGACTGTTGAGATCACGTTGTAAATGGTTAAGACTGGGATCCTGTTTAGGCGTCTTGGCAGGCGTGTGCTTGGGACTAGAGGCTGCTGGGCTATAGTCTGCAGCCCTGGGTTTGGGCGCCATTATCATGTGGGCAATTGCTGGTGTTGTCGCAATAGAAGTTACCGACGCACAGGCTTCGATTGTGACAGCCCTGTCTGAAGTACAAAGATCCGTTTGCTTATTTTTATCTGCATTGTGTTTCAGGATATTATAAATTTGTACATTGGACTGAGCTTTGGGTAAGATTTGAATAAACGCACTTTCACCCATTATTTGTGTTCTCCACATAATATAGTTCCAAGACTTGCTTAAATTTTAGCTGATACTGAAAATTTTGAGCACGCCAAAATTAAACAGGAATTTATTTATAAAAATAAGCTGAATTACAAAGCTAACCTGCTGACTCTGCCTGGGTTGCCTTTAAATGCCAATGGAACTCGTTCACTTTCATTTATTTTACCGTATTTAGTACGATTTGTCAAACATATATGTTTTTCGTTGAATATGGAGTAATATTGTTTTGCTTTTTGTGTGTAATATTAAATATTTGCTAACAATTGTTAAAATTTACAAATTTCACGCGGCCGCTTGGCGTTGGACAACCGAGATAACTAGGGTTGCAGAATGAGTATCGAGTTGAATGTATCGATCTTTTAATGTTAATTAACATATCAAGCTATGTTAAGCTAACAGAGTTAATGTTATCGATTATTCGCTTGCATTTGGCGGCCCGATTGTCTTTTCAAATAATATTCACAAGCAGCCAAACAAGTTATAAATAAATAACGATAAATAGAGCAATGATTGAGCATTATTTCTATATATAAATTATACATTTCTGTTGGATTTAAAACAGTTAAATAAACACAGTTCTGAAAACTTTTTTTTATGCATAAACGTTTATATAGTGTTCACATGTGTGTTATATTCGAACTTATTTACATATGAAAATGTATTTACAGGAAATAAAACAATAAAAGTTAATCGCCTAAAGTAGCAAGCAATTTGCCTATGACAACAAATCCTTATACTTTCTTTGCTATCAAAATGTGCGCATTTATTGCGTTTATATATTTCATATTTCTTGCTTATTCTTTTATTTTTGTGCACACACCTCGACTCTAGGACGTTCTCAGTCTTAAACGATTTAAAAACTATGGCAAAATTTTAATCAATTATTACAAATTGCATAATTATTAAATCTCATCTCTGGTGTCTAATCCATAACTGCGTTTTAATTAGTATAAGTGTTAATGCCTATTATTGGCAATACGTCCAAAATTATGCTCGACAAAGATGGCTGCATTTCGCGTAATTTATCATCACAAAACTGAGCGAAATGCACTCCACTGACCAAATTGAATAAACATTTGCTTTGACTAAATAATTATAATATAATGCTAGGCGATGAATAAATTAGGGCCAGCTCCAATTTCAGCTCATTCTGCAATTATAGAAAATTAGAGAGAGTTTTCTTGGGGTTAGGTATATTTTTGGGCACCTACCATGTGCGCTGATTAGACTGCGCGCATCCCAGAGCGATAGCTGCGACTGCGACAGCCGATGCTGCGGCGGATAAAGTTTGTAGGGGAAATACGAGTGATGGAACGTGGCAATGGGTATGGGCGTCGTTGTCTGTGGCGCCTGCTGCTGCTGCTGCGCGGCGAGCAGGAATTGATGATGCTGCGCCGATATCTTGCGCGAGATCTTCGGCTCCTTCTTGGGCTTGTTGGCGCACTGCTGTTTGCTGGACTTAATGAAATTGGGGATGCGTGCCAGTAGGCCGCAATAGTAGGGATCATCCTGCTTTTTGCGCTGCGGCGTATTCTTCTGACGCTTTTTTTCCGTATAAACAGGCGCCAAGGATGCAGCCACCTCGTAGTCCGGCTGAAAAAGAACGGAACACACAATGAATATCGTGCGAGAGCTACTTTTAAAATTCGACTCACCTTTGGCACATAGGGGCTTTCATTGAGAAAGGCCGCACTGAAGACGCTGCGTCTGCCCTTGCTCGAATTGCTCGAGTTTTGCGAATCATCGGAGGCAGCCGGCGTGGGATAGATTAAACCCACTTGACTCTCAATGGTGGAGTAGGGATCCTCGCTGCTCTGTGTGAGGGGCACACGCATGCCCAGCGCATCCAGAGATTTGGGCAGCGTTTGCAGGCGATTCTTCAGCATATCCATGGCAACCACATTGACAACCATTATCCACAGCGGCGAATTGATTAGATTATTGTTTGACTTAACCAGCGAGACGGCCGACAGGCACTGGCGCTCCAGACGGCTGCGTTCCGGATAGCTGCGCGCGAATTCACGGTTTATGTTCGTCTGGAACTTCTTCATGTCGAACAGCTTGGACGAGGTGCCAGCCGTTAGTGACATTTGCGGCATTTGCATAATATCGGCACCGATGACCGTCTCCTCATTGGCCAACGAGGTGTTGTTCACAAAGATGCTGCTCTTGCCGTAGCGCTTGATGAATATGTTGCCGGTGTCGTCCATTTTGATCTTGAAGCCATCACCGATTGACTTTTTGATCACTTTTGTCTCGGCATCACGCATGGGATTGTCAAAGCCGTTCAGGCCAATGCTGCAAGAGATTGTAAGGCCCAGTTAGTAAGGCGTTGGACGAGCTTTAGCCAAAGGTACTTACCGTACGCCATCGAAGCCATGCTTGGAGCCGTTAATGGTTATCACATTGGAGCGCGCATAGGCCTTGGCCACGCGTCGATTCTTCTCAAAGACAATGATCTTGGCCCAAATCTCATCATCGATTTGCTCCCACTTGGCCAGCACTTCGTTGATGTGATCCTGCAAGATAAATCCAAGCATTTTACAAATACCCTCCCTCGTATACAAATTGATTAAATGCTTACGCGGAAGAGCTTTTCGCGATCGTGCCAGACATCCTCCTCTTGCTCGTCTTGCCCGATGGCATCCAAATTGTCCAGGGAGCGCGATATAATCTTGCGGCGCGAAATCATTTTCGTGTAGGTGTTTATGCTCGCACTGAAAAGACCGAGTTCCCCAATTATTATTATTATTATTTTTTATTTATTTATAAGTATAATTACAGCAGCTGGCGGCTGGGCCTGCACAACAACAAGAACAATTAACTGCTCGTGCGAATGACTCTTTGAGCGCCATTTGAAATGATTAGATCTGGACCGGGCTATTAAATTGTTGGCGTGTAAAGGAATCAAATTATTCTATATATATATATATATATATATATATATATATATATACACGCATGGATTGTAAAAACTTTAATCCGGTATTAGATTATTAAGCAATCAGCCAATCAATCTGCGAGCCAATGAACTTGTCTGCTCAGTTTGTCGCCTAAGTCTTTTGATTTTGAAACTCTGCTTTTGAAATTGTATAGAAACATGATATTTGGTATGCCGAAATTAAACAATGTCACCGCGCGTAATTGTGTGTGTCTCTTCTTTTTTTTTTTTTTGTATTTTGCATTTTTCGTCAGCCAAACTTGCATTGCATTTCAATTGCCATTTTGGTTTTTCTTCAATTTTATTTTATTTAATTTTCGTTGTGTTGAAAACAGTTTCAAAGTCAAGCTGATTTGTTTATGCGCATTGTGAACGTCTTGTGACAAAATGCCAGCTACCACATTGGCATATCAGGTGTATTGGCGGTCATGCACGTGATTGGCATTCAATGCGATTAATCAATAAGTATATATATATATATATATGGTACATGGTACGCAATGTGTGTCACACGCCTTGAAAGTGAGTCTGAGAACCAAAGCAGCTGTTCACTTCCTAGCTTCATTCTATTAAGGGCGTGCTGCGTGCTGCAAGCCAAATGCTTGATTTTAATGGCTGGCGGGTTACACGGCATGTTTAATGGCAGCGGTCAAATCGGTCAATTCCATTGAAGTCAATGCCATTTGGCTTTCTATTTGCGTTGGCGTGGGCTTTAATTAGCAAACAGAATGCCCATAAAATTGATATATGTCACGCATAATACCAAAAAGCCACGGGCAGCCAATAATAAATTTCTAATTTCAACGGGTTTTTCTGTCGCCTAGAACTTTTTATACCCTCTCAGAGTGTCGACAAGTTTTGTCACGTAATGTGTAACGCATTAAAGAAGACGACTATAGGCCAAGTATATATAGTCCCGATTAGTGTGAACAGCTGGTCTGGCAGACTTGGCTTGAAAAAACTTGGTTTGGGTCTGCTTATATATCACATATCGAACCATTGTATCAGATTTTCAAGAGTATTTCAACTTCAACCTGCTGAAATTCTCTTTTGTTTAAATTTTTGCATATTTGCTGATATGTTTAACAACGCCAATGCTGACACGCCCACTTAACAAACAACATCTCAGCCCCGTGCTGCTGGAGACACAGCTAAAAAACCTTCTAAGCTTAATTAGGGTTTTCTGCATTGCAGAATTCTTAACTAAGTTCATATTCATTCATGAGTCAACGCCGGCTCTTAATGATGTTTTGGCCCTATGGTTATCATTCAGTGTTGAATCTCGAAGCACATTAAAAAAAAAAAATAACCCGTAACTTCAGATTCAACATATTTCTGTTTCATCTTCTATTTTAGAGTGCTGTGATTAAGTTCCAGCAGAATGCCAAAAGTCTTTGTTTTTTGTTGTTGTTGTGGTTTTTTCTCTCTGCTCAACTGTTTTTATTTTGTATATTATACAACGCATAACATTTCGTTCTTTTCACCGCTTTGTTGGCGTGTGGTTTGCTAATATATTGTGTATAAAAGTTTTTTGTACGCCGAACGTGCTGTTGATTTTTTAGCGATGATCACATGGCACACCAACACACACACATACAAACATGAAATTTAATTAGCTAGCTGGCCTTTTGGCCATCTCGCAGGCCACATTTATACATATAAATGTTAAGTGCATTGAAATCAACTCATTATTGTACACTCTTATTTATTTATATTAACGCGATTATATTCCTCATGCTGCGACAATATGCAAGAGTTAAGCAAATATTTGAATAATTTTCGTTTGTCTTTTGCGCGCTTTTTAATCAGTTGGGCAAATTGTCGAGCGGCCAGTTGAAAGTTAAGCTCGGTTTAAATCTACAAAATGAAATAATTAATGAAATTGACTAACAATATGCTGTTAAGAGTGCATTAAGTGTTAATTGAGACGCCATCGCTGGCGATTGATGTGCGTCACAGTTGCAGTCAAGTTCGTGTCTTAAGTCTTTCGTTTGCTAGCGCCGATTTTCCGCATGCCAGACATACAGTGTATATAGTCGTACGTGGCCTAGCCCCAAGGCACTTGTTTATTGCAATTAATTATGTAAGCTGTGGTCTCCATGCTGGCCAGGGCTCGTTGTCCGTTGCCAGTTTTATTTATAGCACAGACGCACTCTGAAACTGTTCTCGGCGTGCGTGAAACTACGTCTCGCGCTTCGCCAAGGCCGTTCGCTGCGGTTCCTGCGCAAAAGGAAGTCTTTGCTAAGCGGCTTAAGTGTATAAGAAGAAAAAACTTGCTGACTAGCCACACAGCCATTAATACCCTGCAGCCATTAAAAGGGGGGTATAAAGGCTTTGTGCAGATGTTGTAATAGGCAGATGGAAGCCT